CCCGGAGCCCCTCTCCAGGACTGTGTCCTCTTGGAATACCGACCCCAGGCCTGACCCTGAGGCACAGGTCTGGCCTCGGGGGGAAAAGCAGCAGTCGCCCGGAACCTGGGCTCGTCGAGGTCGTGCGACCTTGTGTGGGCCCCTGTGGAGGCGCCCTCCGTCTATAAAGCGAGGCCCACCTTGCGGGCTGGCATAAAAGGCGTGAGCAGGCTTTGTTAGCTGCTAAGCGCTCGGGACATGGAGGTTTGTCTTTAAGGGCTTATGGTTCTGGTTGGAAACGAAGGAGGTGGGAAGGGACTAGGGCCAGAGGACAGTACCGGCCGGACACACCCAGGGGCCGACAGGGACTGAGGACTACTGCTGCCCGGTCTCCTCACCCCCTTTTCTTCTTCTCCCACTGCAAGTCCTCCAGTTGCACTGACAATTTTGATCTAATGGGGGATAACCAGGCAGCGGGGCAGGCAACAGGCATGCTGGGGTCCCCTGTGGGGCGCAAGCAGTGTGAGCAGAAGGCAGGCAGGCCACAGAAGCAGCAGGGTCAAGCAGAGAGGGACGGTGGGTGCCAGGCCTGGCTGCCAAGCCCCGGCAGGCCCCCAAAGAAGCCCGTGGCTGGGAGCTGCTCTGCAGCGCCACCTGGTGACCACACGGGAGCTGCAGCCAGAAGGTGACCTCTGGGCCCTAAAAGAAGTCGCACATTACCCATGGCCCTTGGTTACAACTCTTTATTTCCTGCATGTCTCAGAACTAGTGACCCAGCACAGCCCAGCAGGAAGGAAATGGGAGGGGCCCCTGCCCACTCCTAACAAAGGCTACCTCCTTGCTGAGAGCTAAGCCCACACAGGAAGGCTAACTAATGGCCCAGGAGGAAGAGTTTAGAGGGCCCTGGAAAAGGGACCACTAGCCAAGCCTCGTGCCAGGCAGGCCGGCCGGCCAGCCATGCAGCTGCAGATGCAGAGCCTGCTCAGGCTGCCCCTGGCCCCCTGCCCCGTACCCCTACAGGGCTAGGACCAGGCTCAGCGCCCCAACAGCCGGAGCATCTCCTGAGGGTCCACCAGCTTCTCCCGGGGCTTCCCACTGCCCTGGCCCCGGGACACCTCTTCAGCATCCAGCTTCTCCCAGTCTGAGAAAGAGACGGGCTGGACCCCTGAGGCAGAGGGAGACAGTCACTGCCTCTCCTCCTTCACCCCAGAGCACCCTTCCAAAGGCCCTCCACCAGTCCCCCACATCCCACTTCCCAGGACCTCAGCCTGGGGTCCCAGACCTCTACTGCTGAGCAGAGCCTCAATGGCTGAGTAGCCGGGCCTGGGGCCCGTGGGCAGCAGCCCCCGCTGAAGGTCCTGCAGCAGTGCCTGGCCAGTAAGGAAGCTGTCGTTCATGGTTGTGCCGATGACACCCGTGGGCCCCCGCTTCACCCAGCCACTGCAGTAGAGACCTGGGTGGAGGGGCAGTAACAAAGGGGTATGAAAAAGGGAGGTGGCTGGGTATGTACGTGGCAAGCCTGCATCCCCTATACGTGCACAGGTGACATGCACACATACCCCCGAATCTTTCCCAAGGCCCTGGGAGTGGGCCCACTCTGACTGCTGGTCCACTACCTCAGAGCCTCCTCAGCCTGTTTTTATCACATCCCACTGCAAGTCCTCCAGTTACACTGACAATTTTGATCTAATGGGGGATACACAGGCAGTGGGGCTGGCAACAGGAATGCTGGGGTCCCCTGTGAGGTGCAGGCAGTGTGAGCAGAAGGCGGGCAGGCCACAGAAGCAGCAGGGTCAAGCAGAGAGGGACGGTGGGTGCCAGGCCCCTTATAGGAGCCCTGGCAGTGCAGTGGTTAAGCACTTGGCTGCTACCCCGAAGGTCGGTGGTTCAAACCCACCTGCCACTCCACGGGAGAAAGATGTGGCAGTTTGCTTCGGTAAAGATGAAAGCTTTGGAAACCCAATGGGGCAGTCCTACTCTGTTTTCTAGGGTCACTATGAGTTGGAATCAACTTGACAGCAGTGGGTTATTTTAGTTTGGTCCCCCCTTCTGCCTGGGTCTTCCTGGATACCAGGAGCTGTGGGTAGGGGCTGGGTCTTGTCCATGCTCAGTTCCAGCAGGCCCTCTGCTGATGTTTGCTGAATGGGTTAATGTCCAGACAGCTGCGATCAGATGGAGAGCTAGCTGCCTTATTAACCTCCACATCTCAGCACAGGGCCTAGCCCAGAGCAGGCCTCAGTCAATGTCTGTTGAATTACAGTCATCTCAGCCAACCGGAGAGCTTCCTTAGGGTTGGGAGGAGTGTGGGCAGCTTCTCAGTGCACAGCACTGGATGGGTGGATGGGTGGATGGATGGATGAACAGCCCCAGGAGACACCTGCCTCTCGATCCCCCACCATAACTCAGGGCCCAGCCTTCTCACTCCCTCTCACCTGGCACATCCATAACTCGGCCCTCTATATTGGGGATGACCCCAAGTTTGGGGTCAAAGGGCACACTGGGGTCGATGGGGCGGCTCTTGTACCCCACGCTGCTCAACACCAGCCCACAAGGCAGGTCTTCTACATCTCCCGTGGGCACTGCCCGGGTAGCCTCGCCGACACCCTGTTGGGGAGAGTGTAGGGAGCACAAGGCTGGGACTAGGAGGCCTGAAGAGGGGGGGACCTTTGGTGACACACGCCCACCTCCAGCTTGGTGACTGCCAGGCGGATGCCTGCTGTCCGCTGCCCATCTGGTGAGGACAGCACCTGTTGAGGGCTTCGGAAAAAGCGCAGGCCCCAGGCACGGGAGGCCGATGCCTGGCGGGCAGCCTCCTCCAGGCCCGGCTTCTCGGCCGTTTGGAGGAGCAGTTCCGTCAGCCGCCTCCTCGGCCGGGGGGCCTCTGTCAGCAAGCACATGTCAGGGCTGAGCCCTGGGGCCCTGGTCCCCTCCCCACACCCTCCCCTGCAGCCTCTCCGACCTAGACCATCCCCTCCCTCGCAAGCGGGGGGCCGGGTCAGGGCCCCTCACCCTTGATTCTCTCCTGGAGGCCTAAGAAATCTGCAGGATCCAAAAGGGGCCGGGTGCCAGGCAGCTGGATCATCTCCCGCAGCTCCTTGGGTGGGGCGTGGAGGTGGAGATCAAGCCCAAGCACTGCCAAGCCCAGCCAGAGCCCAGCCAGCCCGGGTGACACCCCTCCCACCACCACAGAAGGCATGGGGCCCAGGGACCCTGCCTGGCTCCCCATCTCCCACCCCAGATTAGCAGCCACTCCCAGGGGCTCCCCTGCCCAGCCCCTAAGGGGAGACCCTCCTTTTGGGATCCTGGCTCCTCCCCTTCCAGCCCCAGCACCTTGATGGTGAAGGCCACTTGTAGGGGTCCACGCCGGCCCACTATCCACACCGTCTTCACCTGACTCTGCCTCAGTACCCCCAGGGAGGCTGCCGTAATGTCTGTTTTCTGGCGCAAAAAGAGGGCCTTGAAGTCACCAGACACTAACATGGAAATGCGACTCTCCATTTGGTGCAGTGGTTAAGGTATCTGGCTGCTAACCAAAAGGTTGGTGGTTTGAACCCACAAGCTGTTCCGTGGAAGAAAGATGCGGCTGTCTGCTGGTAAAGATTTAGTCTGGGAAACCCAAAGGGTGTCACTCTGAGTCAGAATCCACTGCATGGCTATTGTTGTTGTGTGCCGTAGAGTCAGACCCGACTCACAGCGACCCCTCCTTGGGTTTCTGAGGCAGTTATCACTACAGGAGATTGCCCAACCTTCCTTCCAAGGAGTGGCTGGTGGGTTTGAACCACCAGCCTTCTGGTTAGCAGTCGAGTGCCTTCGGTACTAGGCCACCAGAGCTCCTCCACTGCGTGGCACTGTTTTTGTTTGTTTTGTTTTAGAGGATGGTACCCCAAAGTTGCCCCAGTGCCCCCCTTGGTGGCCAGATGGAGCATTGCAGCCAATTCTGCAAATGACTGCCACATCTTTCCCGTGCGGAGCAGCTGGTGGATTCGAACTGCCCACCTTCCGGTTAGCAACTGAGCACTTAACCACTGTGCCACCAGAGCTTCTTCTGCAAACGGCACCAATGAGGAGCCAACTAGACCCACATTTTCTTATTCAACAAGTGTTTGCTAAGTGCCGTGTGCCAGGCTCCATGCAAGGGCAGGGAAGGGCAGGGAAGGTGAATGGTGGGAGAACAGAGAAGGTGCCGGCCCTCCCAGAGCTTCTGATGTGGTCAGGAGAGAGAGAGACACTCATCCACTGCCAAGGTGCTCGTCAAATACTCCGCAATGAGTGCAAAACTGCGGGGGTGACAAGGCACGGAAGAGAAGTAGGCGGGTAGGTGAGAGGGTCCAACAGGGGAGATGGACTTGCTCAGGGAGGTCTTAGAAGGCTTCCTGGAAGAAGGGGCAGCTGGGCTAAGAACTAAAAGATGGGCAAAAGTTAACTGCGTGGGGCAAAGGTCAGTCAGGGCAGTGCTCTACCCAAGAGGATGCCATGTGCTAAGGTACTGTGCACACTGAAGAGAAAGTACAGGTTGTGTAACTGGGGTACAGGAAGTGAAGGGGGACATGGTGTGAGCTGAAGCTCACAGGCTGCCTTTCAGAAGGCCTCCCTGGGCACCATGGGAAACAGGGGCACTGGGGTCAACTTGGAGGGTAAGGCCTCAGGCCTGCGGGCTGGGCACCCTCTCCTCGGCGGGCCCTCCTCCCTCTAGCCCCTGCCCCACCCACTCACCTCCAGGTGCTCAGGTGGTGTCAGCAGGATCCGAGCCACGTCCAGAGCCACGTTGCCCTGCCCCAGAATCACAGCTGTGTCACAGCTCAGGTCCGGGGCCAGCTGCAGGAGGAGGTGGCAGTAGGGTCGCCCAGGCTTTGCTCTGGTCAAGCTTATCTCGGTCTCGGGCACCCATGCCTGTTCCCCAGCTGTGCCCTTAGGCACTCCCACTCAGTGAGCCCCAACTCAGGCCCCTCCTCCCCGACCTGGCTTCACCTCTTCCTGTTGTTGTTGTTGTTGTTATGTGCCATCGAGTCAGACCCGACTCACAGTGACCCCTCCTTGGGTTTCCGAGGCAGTATCACAACGGAAGTAGATGGCCCAACCTTCCTTCCGAGGAGTGGCTGGTGGGTTTGAACCGCCAGCCTTCTGGTGAGCAGTCAAGTGCCTTAGGCACTGTGCCACCACCGACCTCCCACCTTGCTCAGCCCGATGTCTCTCACCTCCTCACCCAACTGGGAGCCTAGGCAGCAGCTCCCTCCTCCCTCAGCTCCAGCACCCACGGCTGCCTTCGGCCCCGGCTCGGGGCTGGGGAGGAAGAGGCAGCTGGAGGGCTCCCCATACTCACCTCGCGGTTCTCAGGAAGCCCATTGTACCAGCCCACAAAGGCCCGAGCTGGGAGCACGCCAGGCAGCTCCTCGCCAGGAATTCCCAGGGCCCGATGGTCCTCTGCCCCATAACTCTGAGCAAAGACGGCAGATGCATGGCTTGGAGCCCTCAGCCCCAGCTCCTCCTGCTCCCCAGCACACAGTGGTTTAGCCTTCCCCTCTACAGCCATCACCCCCGCTGCTGCTCCCCCCCGAGCCCCAACCCCAGCCGCAGCCCACCGTGCGCACTCACCAGCACCACGGCATGGTAGGCCTCCCGCAGCTCCGGCACCGTCACGTCCCCGCCCACCACCACGTTGCCCCGGAAGGCACAGCGGTCAGAGCGGGCCGTCTGCGTAAAGGTGTTGATGACGTTCTGTTGGCCCTCCCCCAGAGAGGGCATTAGAGACGGGAAGAGTTCCAGAGACCAGGCCAGTACCACCCCTATCGCAGTGTCCCCAGGACAGTCAGCGAGCCTCCCTTACCCCTCATCTTGACACAGTCCCCAAACCCCATCCTGCATGCCCAGAGACCCACCTTCACCTCGGGGTGGTCAGGGGCCACGCCAAAGCGCACTAGGCCAAAGGGCACCAGCTGCTTCTCATAGATGTCCACACGTGCCTGGCTGTGGTGCTGTAGGGAGAGGGGGCAGCTGGTGGGGCTGAGGGAGAGGCTGGACCCCCACAGGGGTTGCCTCTTCCCCAGACAGAGCTGGAGGACTTGGTTCAGTGAGCTGAGGATGCAAACAGGCTTCCATTCTCTGCAAGAAAAAAGAGAGCCCCTTGATTCCCCAAGTGCCCAGAGCCAGAAAAGGAGAACAGGGCAGACAAGCAGCAAGAGCAACTGAGGTCCGATCTCAAGGACTACTCGCCCATCAAGATTGTAAGAACAGGCTAAGGAAGGCCACAGCTCCTCTCCCACTGAAGCTGTCAAGAAGGGCTTCATCCACCTGGATCAGGCAGGACACACAGCCCTGTCCTAGGACTCCAGATGCTTCTAGAAATGCCCAGCCAGTCGATGGTCTGGGAACAATCCCTTGACATTCACGGCCACTTTAGTTCTAGTCTCCAAGCCTGTCCTGTTGGAAAGGGGGTCAGCAGGACAGGGCGTGGGAGCACAGTGGGGGAACGAGGTGGGGAGATGGAAGTAGCCCTACTCCCACCCACACTTAGAACAGCACCCTCATGGGTTCCACAGATCACTGGTTCTGGATCGTGCACAGTGGCTTGAGTGGCCATGGGGAAGGCAGCGGGTTGGGTCAGGAGGACAGCTCTGCTCTGGCTCTGCCACCTACCAACTGCATGACCCTGGCAAGTCCCAGGACCTCATTAGCTCTCAGTCTTCTCCCGCAAACTGGGTTGTTGAGAAGCACCCGGAAGGTCATGACAGTGCAGACTATGGCGACAAGCGTGTCTGGAGCAGAGCGGTGGGGACGTGGAGGTGACGCTGCCCCACCCCCAGCACGTCCCAGGCTCCTGCTGTTGTTGCTTGCCGTGGAGTCAATTCCAACCCACAGGATCCTAAACGACAGAGCAGAGCGGCCCCGCAGGGTGTTCCAGGCTGCACTGAAGGCACTGGCGAAAACAAGGCTCCAGGAACTGACGGGATACCAATCGAGCTGTTTCAACAAACGGATGCCATGCTGGAAGGACTCACTCATCTATGCCAAGAAATTTGGAAGGCAGCCACCTGCCCAGCCAAAGGGAAGAGATCTATGTGTGTGCCCATTCCAAAGAAAGGTGATCCAACAGAATGTGGAAAATATCGAACAGTATCATTAATATCACATGCAAGTCAACTTTTGCTGAAGATAATTCAAAAATGGTTATAGCAGTACATTGACATGGAACTACCAGAAATTCAAGCCAGATTCAGAAGAGGATGTGGAATGAGGGATGTTACTGCTGATGTCAGATGGATCTTGGCTGAAAGCAGAGAATACCAGAAAGATGCCTGTCTGTCTTTTATTGACTATGCAAAGGCATTCAACTGTGTGGATCAAAACAAATTACGAATAAACTTCAAAGAATGGGAATTCCAGAACACTTCATTGTGCTCATGAAGAACCTATACACAGACCAAGAGGCAATCATTCAGACAGAACAAGGGGATACTGCACGGTTTAAAATCAGGAAGGGTGTGCATCAGGGTTGTATCCTTTCACCATATTTATTCAATCTGTATGCTGAGCAAATAATCCGAGAAGCTGGGTTATTTAGGAAAGTGGCACCAGGACTGGAGGAAGACTCCTTAACAACCTGTGAAGTGAGCACGATACAACCCTGCTTGCTGAAAGCAAACAGGACTTGAAGCACTTACTAATGAAGTTCAAAGGCTCCAGCCTTCGGTATGGATTACACCTCAATAGAAAGAAAACAAAAATCCTCACAACTGGACCAATAAGCAACACGATAAACAGAGAAAGGACTGAAGTTGTCAAGGGTTTCATTTCACTTGGATCCACAATCAAAGTCCATGGAAGCAGCAGTCAAGAAATCAAATGACATAGTGCACTGGGCAAAACTGCAGCAAGACCTGAAGACTGGGCAAACTACTGTAGTGATACCGCCTCAGAAACCCAAGGAGGGGTCGCCGTCAGTCGGATCCGACTCGGCAGCACTGAGTTTGGTTCTTGGTTTTTTAAAGTGTGAAGCTGGCGCTCTTCATGGGTGAATCACCATTGGGGTTGAGGGAGGTGATTCGGGAGCCTGGGGGGTCAGGAGGTGCAGTGGGCAGGGGGCAGCACTGGAAGTGGGTGCAGGCAATGGCGTGGAAGGGAAGGGGAGAGGGGGTTTGGATTAAGGTCAGGGGATGAGAATGGGCCTTTCTCAGGGACGAGGACGACTGGAAGGCCAAAGCTTCACTTGTCTCAAGTCACTGAATTGAGAGGTGTTACAGCAAGGGCCAAAAGGAGCCCTGGTGGGTGGCACAATGGTTAAGCACTCTCAGCTGCTACCCAAAGGGCTGGTGGTTCATGTCAGGCTCAGCTAACACAGTCAGCTTGCCGGCCTTGGTTAAGGGGCCCAGGCTCTCCCCTCACATGACTGTGCCCATGACCTTGCATTCCCAGGACGGCTCCCCACACTTGGAAGGCCCTCCCAAAGGTTTCTTCAGGGCAGCACAGATGCATGTCCTCCAGGAAGCAGTTTCTGATTGGCCGGCTGGCCCTGGCTCCATCTGCCCTCCCCATCATAATTAGCTCTTCCACTTGTTGCTTAATGTGCCCTCGTGGTACAACAGTCAAGCTGGAAACTGAAAGGTTGGCAGGTCAAGCCCCCCAGCAGTTCTGTGGGAGAAAGATGTGGTGATAAGCTTCTATAAAGATTACCGCCTAGAGAACCCTGTAGGGCAGTTCTCCTCTGTCACACAGGGTGACTAGGAGTAAAATCGACTTGACGACATCAAGAACTAACCAACCAAGTGACCGACTTGTCATCGTCTCCCTGGACTCTCCCATTTTAGCACTGAAAGTCTCGTGTCCCAGGAAGCCCCAAGGTCCTGGGCAAACCAGGATGGTTGACTACTTGCCTTTCAAGGGCCTCTGTGTGTAATTAATATATTCTCCTTCTGCCTGTCTTTCTGTGGACACTGTCCCCCATCTCGGTCAGCCTGGGTCCCCTCCCCTCCTCCAGCCCTGAGGTCTGATGTGGAATCCCAAGGGCAGCCAGGAGCCCTGGGGCCCCGCCTCTCAAGGCCAATACTGCAACCCTCAAGACCTCGGCCTTCACGTTGTGTGTGTGTGTGTGTTGGGGGAAGAATGCTAAAAGGGAAAAAATGGCACAGAGAGGGCTGGGGCTATTGGCTAAGGGACCCTGAGAAGTGATTAAAAGGACAGGAAGCCCTGGGTAGAGGGGGTACCTGGGATGCAAGATGTTGGAGAAGAGAAAGAGGAAAAAGAAGGGAAGATGAGGTGCAAAACAAAGTCACCCTGCAGGTCTGCATAACCTCCCTGGAGGGCCCGGCCAAGGAGCCGACCATTCACCACCAACCCGTGACCACTGACCCTTACCCACAAGGCAAACAAACTTTCCTACAGACAAGGATCTAGAGTGGGGAGCCCCAGATGGAGTGAGGAAGCGGATAGCATGTGTCCAGCCTAGATGGGCTGGGACCCCTTTCTCATTGGATTCCAGGACTGTTCTTAAAACTCAGACGGGATGGGGCTTATCCTGAGGACTGGGGCAGCAGGTGCACCACAGGGGAGGCAACCGGGAGGAAGTAGTTTACCTTTAGCAGGTGTTGGGCCGTGTAGAAGCCAGCCGGGCCACTACCCACCACGCAGATCTGGGGGGTCTGCTCTTGTGTGGAGAACTGCCGGCAGAAGCCTGGGGAGGAGAGCAAAGTCTGACCAACGCTCCCTCCGCAACCCCAAACCAACTTCCGTGTCCACCAGGAGCTGGGACTTCCCAAGCTTCATGCTCACCTGCACCCTCCTCCTCCTGTTCTTCCAGGCTTTGGCCTCTGCAGGGTCCCTTAGATCATCTGAGCCCCCAAAGGCTGTGTCTCACCCAGAGCACAACACCACACCCATGAATTTATTATGCCACTGACGATGGCCTACTCAATGGCTCCGACCATCCCTGACGCTGCCCTGGACAGTACTTCATCACTTCTCCTATGGCCCTGGTGGCACAGTGGGTTAAAGGGCTCAGCTGCTAAACGAAGGCTGTGATTTGAACCCACCAACTGCTCAAAGGGAGAAAGATGTAGCAGTCTGCTCCCATGAAGAGTGCAGCCTTGGAAACTCTTTGGGACAATTCTACTCTGTCCTATAGGTTTGCTATAAGTCAGAACTGAGTGGCACCCAACACCACCTGCTAGAATCCCACACTCTCTGAATGGACTCTAAAGCAACTGAACCTCATCCTTGTGGCTCTCCTCACATTGCCTCATCTTACCTCTCCTAACCCCTCTCCCCACAGGACCCTATTTTGCCCATATTGTCACCTATCGCACTCCTTTTAATCCCTGCCTCCACTAAGACTTCCCTGTCGTCCCTCACCCCGTCTTCCAGCTGTGGACCACATGGTCCCCTTTTCATCTAGAACCCTTACATCTCACCACACAGACCCCCATCTGCCCCTGCACACCGCCTCCATCTGGCCGTCATGAGTAGACCCCTCCAGTCCCGTCCCTGCTCTGCTTCGACTCCGTACACTTGGTGTTCGCATGCCTCCCCGCGTTCCCGTCCACCCCAGAGGTGTCCTGGACCTACTCAGGGGGCTCCCAGCGAGAGGCGATCGGGTCCGAAACCACGCCGGCCAGTGCAACCAGGAGTGCGTCGCCATGGCTAGGAACCGCAAGCTTGCTCCGCGCCGGCTCTGGTCCCGCCGAGCCCGGACTCCGGACCCGCCCACCAGCACTGCACCGCCCCAAGTCCCGCGTCCCACGCACTGGGAAAGCGCAGCGTTTCGGCTCCACCCCCATCCCCGAATGAATCCCGCCCCCAAAAGAGAAACTCACCCTCGCATCCACCTCCTACCGTCGAAGCCCCGCCCCTCAAGACTTCGGGACCGTAAGCGACTTAACTTTCTCCCCAATCTTCGTTCTCCCTCCAATTACCTTTGGAGGAGAGCGAATCCCTATCGTTGTTTCATTCTCCCCTGGCAGAGAGAACCAATTAGAAAGGAGATTATTCTATTCGGTCGTTGCTCGCTGATGACGCAATGGGTCCTCATCTATTTGACAGCGTTTCCTGCTGCGGGGGCCGGGTTTTGTCGCAGCCAGTTACGAGTTCAGTTCCGGTGAAGAACAGAGTCCGGAAGTCTGGGGGAAACGGGGTTTTAGCGCGCCCTTTGTCGCCCCTTACCCTACAAAAAGCTGCCCATTTCGGGCGAGAGAGAATATTAATTAGCCTTTGGAGATTGTTTTATCCTCCCCCCCCCACACACACACACACACACACAGGTGAGGAAACGGGGAAGGACGGATCCGTAGTTAGGTCTGACCCGATGAACCTAATGCCTCTTCCTTTTCCCCAAGCGCCCTCTTGTCAAGCATGACTTCCTTGGAGAAGCTTTCCAGGACCCCTCCCGTCCCTAGCTAGGGGCCCCTCTTGTCCCCATGGCACCCCTATCTTACCTCATCGTTACTTATTACACCAGTTTGTCATTTTGTTGTTGTTGTTGTTTTTAATGATCACTTTTATTGAAGTGTAACATAAATACAGTTGTTACAGTCCAGCAGGTTCTGACTGGTAGCGACTCTGTGTGCAATAGAAGGAAACATTGCCCGGTCCCGTGCTGTCCTCGCAATTGTTGCTCTGCTTGAGCCCATCCTCACAGCCACTGTCAATCCGTCCCCTTCAGGGTCTTCCTCTGACCACTCTACTTTACCAAGCATGATACCCTTCTCCAGGAAATGGTCCCTTCTGACAGCATGACCAAAGTAGGAGCGACAAGGCCTGACCGTTCTCGCTTCTAAGGATGATTTCTGCTGCACTTCTTCCCAGATTTGCCCATTCCTCTGGCAGTCGGTCCATGGTTTTTTCAGTATTCTTTGCCAACACCACATTTCAAATGCATTAATTCCTTTTCAGTCTCCATACATACAGAAAAGTACACGGATCATAGTATACAGTTTGATGAATTATCACAAGATGTAACCGTGTAGCCACCACTCAGATCAAGAAATAGAACGTGGCCAGCATCCCAGGACTCCTTGTGCCCCTTCTTGGCACTGCCCCTCCTTCCTACTGAGAAGTTAGTAGTGTTGGGGTCTCTCACCTGTTGTGTTTCATACCCGTCCCACTAAGCAAACTACAACCTGCCTCTCAAATCCTGCCCATCTCCTGCTTTTTTACAGCCTGTGAGCCAAGAATGATTTTAAATTTTTAAATGGTTAAAAAAAATTTTCAACAATATTTTGTGACCCATGAAACACATGAAATTCAAATTCCAATGTCTATAAATAAAGTTTTATTGGAACATGCACATTTCTTTCTATATGTTTGTCATGGCTGCTTTCCCACTGTGATGGCAGAGGGCTGTGTGGTTCACAAAGCCCCAAATATTTACTGTCTGGCTCTTTACAGAGAAGGTTTGCCAACCCTTGCACTAGACTGTAAGCTCCGTGAGGGTGGGGGCCTCATCTCAAGCACTCTTGTATCCCCAGAGGTTTGCTCAGGGTCTGGGATGTAATGGATGCTCAAAAAGGGTTTGTCTTAGTGATTAAGTCACCGATTATCCTTTCACATGGGAAAAGACATTGAGATTGAGGATCAGACATCCAGAAGCCCCTATAGGCTCCCCATCTACAGGCAGTATGTTAAGAGCTGGATTTTTTTTTTTTTTTCCCATAGATACACCTTTCCTTGACTTTTACAATAACAGACTAATATAATATTTGTCCTTTTGTGATTGACTCATTTCACTCAGCATAATGTCCTCCAAGTTCATCCACGTTATGTGGTGTCTTGCAGATTCTGGGTTATTCTTTAGGGCTGCATAGTATTCCACTGTGTGTATGTACCATGGTTTGGTTATCCATTCCTCAGTTGATGGACCCCTAGGTTGTTTCCGTCTTTGGCTGCTGTAAATAGAGCTGCAATGAACATGGGTGTGCAGATGTCTTCTTGTCACGGCTCTCACTTAGGAGCTACATTTTGTTGATAAACACACTGGGTTGGAATCACTCTTCTGTCACTTTCTACCTGAGACACTGAGAAATTTAATCTCTCCAGCCTTATTTTTACTCTCTGTAACATGGGAGAAAAAATGGTACCAAGTGGTTGTAAAGATTAAAACGAGATGATGTGGACAGAAATGTCTGTCCAGAGTGCTGAATAAATGGTAGCTCTGATCATCATCAGAAGCCCCTGGTAGTGCAGTGGTTAAGCACTCAGCTGCTACCAAAAGGTCAGTAGTTCTAACTCAACAGCCATTCTGCGTGAGCAGGATGAGCAGTCTGTTTCCATAAAGATTTACAGCCTTGAAAATTCTCTGGTAGTTCCGCTCTGTCCTATAGGGTTGCTATGAGTTGGAATCGACTGCCGCCAGTGGGTTAGTGGGTTCTGTCATTGTCATTGTCGTCATTTTCACCTCCCATACACCTCTATCAACTAAACCATAGGTTGTTCCCAGAGTCCTAGAAGGGCCTCATGAACGCTTATCTCCTTCCATTACCTCTCAGGCTCTTCCCAGCCCCCATCCTCAGAGGAACAGAAAATCCACCTCAAAACAATCAAATGACTTGTTCCCGGATGCCTGTGTACTGCCAAGGCTGGTACCAGGCCTCCAGCTGCTGCCCACTCCCCATCAGGCCCGGATCAATAACAAATGAGTCATCGGTTATGTAATAGGATGGTTTTAATCATAGTCAGGACTGTGCAACTGGGGCCTTTTCTGACAGTACTTTTTTCATACGGAGAATTAGCAGTTTGATGAATGGCTCGCTCAGACCTAAAGGCCATTGCTGAGTCGCTAATGCATTTCAAAAGAGCAACACGAACATATAATAAAGCAGGAGGCTGCCAGGCCCTCATGTTCCATCAGGGCTGCTTGCATCCAAAACAGCGCTCCAGTGGTCAGTCTCCCCACAGGAAACGATGGCACACTCGGGTGGCAGAGGAGAGGTGAACGAAGGGACCTTTTACAGAAGTGTGAGCAGGGCCAAGGGGGGCAGTAAGGGATGGTGAAGCACCCTGGGCTAGCAGCTGGAAGCCCTGAGCACCCCAAGCCCCAAAGGAGCAGAAGAGGAAGCAGTTCAGGAATGAGTGACAGGTGTAGCTGTAGGAGAGGGTGGGGAGTGGGGGGTGTGTGTGTTGGGAGGCAGGTCACAAGTTCCCAGCAGAGCCACCTGAGGCCACACTGGAGATTGGTTCTCCAGCAGGACTGGGCTTAGAGAGTCCCTTCACCCTCTGTGTGACTTCCCCATCCATCCCAAGGGCTCCCATTTGCTGGTGTTTAGCCTCTCCATCCTCATGGTCAGCACACCCCTTCACCCCATCCAAGGACTTAACCTCAAAACAAAGCAATCAGACACTCCGAGTATGACTTAGATGTTTTAAACCAATGTTTCTTGGCTGGGGATGATTTTGCATCCCAGGGGACATGTGACAATGTCTGAAGACATTTTTGATGATCCTGATGGAAGCTCCTGGCATCTCGTGGGCAGAGGACAGGCCTGCTGCTAACCATCCCACAATGCACAGGACAGTCCCCCCAAGAACAAAGCATCGTCCAGTCCAGGACGCTAATGGTGCTCAAGCAAGAGAGCCTGTGTCCAGGGCACTGCTCTGGCCGCTCGTCTTAGCCCCAGCCTCCTCCTCAGCCCCTCCCTCAGCTGCCAGCTGGACCCTTCCATGCACCCCCCACGGCCCAGCCTCCCAGGCTGCTCCTGAGTCTACGCACTCTGGGCTGAATCTTAATGGCGTCCCTTAGTTTCGTAGTCTGTCTTCCAGGCAGCATCAGTAGTTCTGGCCAATTCCCACCTCAGTCCCAGGCTTAGCACCGTCTGCTGCAGACCGCCCCTTCCCAGCCAAGCCAGCCCTCGACTTCAAGCCCTTGTCTTTGCACCCCACCCTCCTCCTCCTCCCCCTCTTCTCTGAAGCCATCTGTCCTCCAGACCCTGTCCCATAACCCCCTTCCAGTCTCAGCTACCCTCCCAGTAATTCTTCTCTCTCCCAATGCATAGTTCTTCCAAACATAATAGAACAAAACAGAGTTTTGGTTATGCTCAAAGATGTCCATGCGTTCCCCAGTTCTGTCCCCGTGGGAATCGTTTCCCTTCCTTCCCCTGGACGCTGTCCCCACAGAACCTCCACACTGTCTCACCGTTGGTGTGGGCCTCGAGAACAGCTGGCCTACCTACTGTCTTGGCCAGGATTCTCTGACTGAGAAGCTAGCAAGGTCTGCCAAAGGTAACCTCTCCCTGTGGTCCACAGGGAGAGGGCTTCTCGGGGGACAGAGCCTCAAAGGGGACAGAAGAAGGAATGCCTAACTACGCAGGGGCTCTCCTGTCTCGAGGCAGCCCTAGCCGAAGTAGCTGACCCTCCTCTCTCCCTGCCCCCTCCCTTCTACCTGGGCCCCTGCTGGGGTCCCTCCTCACCCTGTCCCTCTCTCTTAACCCTAGCACAGCTCACACAGAACATCAGGCATAGGTCAGCTGCTTAGGCCTGAGATGAAGTTGGCTGAGGTCCAGGTGGACCAGAATGCCCAACCCCCTTTACTCCTTTCCCCTAGAAACCCCTTGAGGCCAGACAAGGAAGCAGGGCAGGTGATCCCCCAGGGCCCCAGGTATGTGCTCCCCGGCCTCACTGCCCACCCAGTGCCTCCACGCTCCAGGTCCACCAGCACCCAAGCACCCCCATGGGGGAAGGGCCCTGCCCGCCTGGTCCCAGTGATGTCCAGCAGAAGCAGGAGAGAAGCGGCAAGCCGGGGTGGGCGTGCCTGCCCCACCCTCATTGCAGCCCCACAAGCTCGGTGATCGGAGGGGCCTGCACCATGAACTCCTCATAGCGATTCAGAAACAGCCGGAAGCGAGCCAGGTATGAATCCTCGTTGTAGGGCAACTGCTTCTCTTTCAGGAACTGGGATACCACGGGCTTCACCTGACCGAAGATGCACGAGAGAGACTGCTGACCTGGGCCTGTGGGCGGACCTGTGTCCACGGGACCCCTCCCCTTCCCTCCAGGCTCCCATTGACCTGGTTCCATGATGCTCTGGAGGGGCCCAGATGTGGGAGGACTCCAGCCTCCTGCCTCCCTGGGGGCAAGGGAAGGAGAGGCCTCTCCCCAACATCCCCCAGGGCTCCCAAGGTGCCTGCCGGCCCTCCTGGGTACAGATAAAAGTCACAGCTCTGTTACCAAGCCCCAACTGTGTGCCAAACACTCCAGATATGGTCTTCAGGTCATCCACAAAATTGTCAGGGAGCACTGCTCACTCCCATTTTACGCACAAGAACACAGAGGCTCAGGAAGGCTGACTTGTCCAGAGACACATCCAGGTGTCTCTGACGGGAGAGCCACACTGCTGCTTGTACACTGGGCTGCCCTTCCTGGGTGCTCTCTGACCATGCCAGAGGGGGACCTTGGGCTGAGAGGGGACCCTTGAGGCCAGCCACCCCTGCCCTTGGACAGTCCTTCTCCCAGCCCCTCTGGCCCGCCCCTCCTCTACCTTCAGACACATGTTGTCAGAAAGCCTAGGGAAGAAGTGGTGTTCCACGTGGCAGCTGATGATGGAGTGGCCAAACGCCCAGTCCAGCACGGGCAAGCGGGGCAGGTTCAACACGCCGAGGCTCATCATGTGAATCCTTTGAGGCTTCTTGTCCCGGGAGAACATGGGCAGGCCAATGTGCTGTGAGACACGTGGGGCATGTCCTGGGCTGGGCCAGGCAGCACTGCCCCCCCACCAGGTGCCAGCCCTGCCCCTCCCAGGTGCCAGCCCTGCACCCCACCAGGCATAAGCTCTGCCACAGGCGTCCTCGCTGAGCACTTGGGGCATTCTTCTTCCTCACCGAGCACACAGCCAGATGTGGTAAAGGTGCGTGGAGGCTGGATTCTCAGCCCTACTCTGTGCCACCCATGTCTGTGCCTGGCACTAGGCCCTGCCCATCTCTGGGCCTCGCTCTCAGTGAGGGCCTTGGCCTGGGCACCCCTCTGATCCTGGGGCACTCTAGTGCCCATGACTGCCCACCACCCACTTTGAGATCACTGTCTTTGCCTCATCCTGGAGGGACCTTTTTCACCAACCAAAATATACTTATCCCCCTGAAAATATTATGCTGAGTGAAATCAGCCAGACACCAAAGGACAGTATGTAATCCCCCTTTTACAAGGTGTGGAAACCAGTTGTCATCAAGCCCACTCTGACTTATGGGGCCCCACGTGTGTCCGAGTAAAACTGTGGTCCTTAGGGTTTTCAATAGCTGACTTTTTTCAAAAGTCGATAACCAGGCCTTTCTTCCTAGGCACTTCTGGGGGCTGAAACCTCCAACCTTTCAGTCAGCAGCCAAGAGCATTAACCATTTTCACCACCCAGGGACTTGGGATGGGGATGGGGTAAGCAGAATAGGCACTGTCACTGAGGCAGAAAGCAGACGTGAGGTTCCCAGGGGCTGCGGGAGGGCACAGTGGGGAGTTCATGTCTTTATGGGTACAGATTTCCTATTTGGGGTGTTGTCAAAGTTTTGGAAATAATTCCTAGTGATGGCTGCACAACATTGCAAAAACAATAATGTCATTAAACAGTACATTTAAAAAATGGTTAAAAAGGCAAATTTTAAGTATACTTTTACCACGATGCTTTTTAAAAACTTAAAAAAAAATCCTACTCATTGTTCAAGATCAAGTTTATGCCATAAAGAAAAATTAAGTCCTGATTCATGCTACAACATGGATGAGCCTTGAAAATGTGCTGAGTGAAAAAAGTCAGTCACAAAAGGCTACATGTATGACCCCACTTACATGAACTATCTGGAATGGCAAATGTTTAGAGACCAAAGTTCATTAGTGGCTACGAGGGGCAGTAGGGAGGAAGAGAGGCAGGGTCATTGCTGAAGCAGTCTGGCCTTCCGTTAAGAGGGATGGAAACATTTGGAAGTGGAGGTGGTGATGCCTGTACAATGTGGTGAACACAGTCACTGTCACTTAGTCGTGCCTGTGGGAAACGTTGAAATGGCCAATGTTTTGTTATATGTGTATTTATCACAATAAAAATAACTATAATCCTGCCTATGCTTTAAAAGAATTCATAATAAGATGCTCTAGCCATGCAGGCTCATCTAGAATAACACTGGTCAAATTAAACAAATTTACATTTCAAAAAAAAAAAAAAAAACCCACTGCCATGAGTTGATTCTGACTCATAGCGACACCACGTGACAGAGAGGAACTGCCCCATCACGCTTCCTAGGCTATAACCTTAATGGGAACAGACTGCCACATCTTTTTCCTGTGGAGCGGCTGGTGGGTTTGAACAGCTGACCTTTCAGTTAGCAGCTGAAGGCTTCAACCACTGTGCCACCAGGGCTCCCTTTATTTATGTTTATCTTAGAAAAAAAAAAAAAACAGCTCAAGTGTACACGTCCTCTTGTCTGTCTTGTTCAACAGGTATGTGTAAGGTCCCCCTGCCGGGCACTGCCCTTGTCCAGGGGCCGCAGAGGTGAACAAGGGGCTTCTATTCTAGCAAGATGGGACACAATTTCAAGGTTAAGTAGTTAGTGTCTGTTGTGGTAAGTGCCGGGAAGGTCGAGTCCAGGGAGCAGGAGGTGCCCTGATGGAAACTTCAAACTGCGCCCCATCCTCACCCCAGCTTCCCATGGCGACCTCCAGGCCACCAGCTCCTTCACCTGCCAGCCTCATGGCCCTTCACTTGGGTCTCTGTAGCAGCCTTTATTTCACTTCACTTGGCTTATCACCATATGTGCACCAAGAG